TGTCAAACAGCCTCTATATAACGGAAGGAGACTGGGATCACACAAAAGGCCATACCATCTTGGTCTTCATACCTTCAATATTATAAAATTATAGGAGACTGCGACCAAAAAGGTCACACCGTCTTGGTCTTCATATCTACGATAACAAGTAATCTTGGAGAACTATCGAATTTGTTGGTAGCTGCTTTAGTTTACAGAGATTTTTTAGCTATATTTCCCGGAACCACGAAATCGGATTTCTAGCGTTCTTATCTATGTATATACGAGAAATTAATTAATGTGATTATTTGAACTCCTATTCTTTAGTAAAGCCTTTGTTCATTATTCCATACTAATAAATTTAGATATGAACGACTCTTATTCGGATTGTGCTTGGTTCTCTGCTTATCTCTCTAAGTCTTTGTCCTCAGAGAATCAGTTTGAAGGTGCCCTAGCGGACGAAAGCCGTTTACTTCTCGACAACCGTTCAAAATGCTTCCTCGAGCGTTATTTCTCCACCGGTTACTCGCCAGACACCTGCGGAGTACCATATAATGACCTCTGCTTGTTGCGGCATTCCAATGGTGTGGTTGTTGTTGGCCTGGCACCGGGAAACCACGTGTTTCATGGATGTCGGCCACCCGAATCAGTTGAGGCTCCTCTGACTGCTGAACCTTTTCCAAGCCATAATCTCTTAGGCGTTGACTTTCAGGTAAGTTTGATTACTCGATATAGGCTCATCTAGTATTTTAATCACATGATTTACACAATCATGGATGGGCAACACTTATTCAGTGTTACTGGACGTTCTGGATTTTTGGAGTGTTTTATATGGGAATAAAATTAAAGTCATTCTTTCCACAATTGAAATTCACACAGGCTTGAGTATAATTCCTTTCATGGCTTTAATTTATACGTTCAAATGACGGGTAAATTATCATGCACCACAATAGAATCCCGTTAGTAGTTTTGTAATTAAAAGACTTGATTTTTTCATTGGCTTCCACTTTTATGTATCCCAAAGTTACATTTTAACCTTACTTTCCATTCATCTCACCGTGAGTGGCCCTTTACTTACACTGACTTCATGGCGCTCCTGGGTTTACTTAATTTTTAAATAGTGAAGATTTGCTTGAGCTATCAATTATTCCATATTAGATACAAGTAAGTCTTTTTTTCCAGCTAGTACTTGTGCTGGTTTGTAATTTACGACGAATCAGATAAATTTTGGTTTGCTATAGGCATTTAATTCAACCTACTTGTAGTGTCGGTTCGACTTCGTTTTCTTAACCTGGTCAGAGCGTCAAGGAAACCTTGTGTAACTAGTCCTGTATTCTCTACCATAGTATTCGCGATTTCCAGCATCGGACCATTTACTTGGTAAATCGCCAAAAGTTTCGCCGGCATCGTCAGGGGGAGGCGTCATTGTTAGCAGAGTTACAACTTATTAAAGTGGCAAGTGAAGACACTCCTCTTCATCACTTTTCTGTTCACCCGTTGTGGCATCATTTTTCGCCCCTACTTTTGGTTATAACTTCGAGTGCTGCATCTCTTTCTCTCAAACCCACTTATAGCTCATCTACCTATTCACACAATTCTGTGCTCTCGTTTCCTCCAATGTCGCTACTTCTGACAGTGTTAAATCTGGCTGTCTAAGAGCCCTCAATTCTCGTCCCAGATTACGCTATATTCGAGGATTCAGAACAAATGGTGCTTATGTTGGAGTACCTTTCATTTCGTTTGAAGATGCGAATGGAAGGGATTCGTAAGTTAGTTCCACTAGGGACTGGGGGGGTTGCCTTAGAGCTGTCGTAGATTTGTGCGAATAGATCCTCGGCGCACCACCCTGCGGCCCCGAAGAATCCTTGCTGAGCTTCGGTCCGTCATATGTCGGACATTGTCAGAGCAGGGCATTATGTTTAACGAAAATTTACCGTCACATGACGGACGAAAGCTCAGCAAGGATTCTTCGGGGTCGCAAGCGGGTCACTGAGGACCTATTCGCACAATTCTACGACAGCTCCAAGGCAATCCCCCCACAGCCTCCGCTGGAACCTACTTACCAATCTCTTTCACTCGCCTCTTCAAACAAAATGAAAGCTACTCCAATATGAATCTATTAAGGCAGTGGTTCCCAAACCTTTTCTAGTCGCGGCGCCCTTTTGCAATTAAAATTTTACGGTGGTGCCCTACCTTAAGTATGACTATTCGTAAGTATAAGATAAAAATAAATGAAACTCGTGTATCTTCATTTTTTACTTAATTAACATTAAATTAATATGAGGATAAGCCTGCAAATCACTGCACATTTTCTCAAATTACAGCCTCAACAATACTTCGCGGCGCCCCTGAAAAGAGGCCGCGGCTACCCGGGGCGCCGCGGTGCACAATTTTGGAATCACTGTATTAAGGGATTCTCCGAAACCCAGTTTTTTTACATACCTAGATGGTGCCTATGTCTATGCTCGTGTCAGTGTCTGGTAATCTTAATCTCTATAGACTTCAAACCCATGATCGGTTATCCTTTTTCTCATCCCCACCCACTTCACATCATTCTCTGGGATCCTGTGTCTGGCCTAAGTCGTAACCGCTAATTTTTTCCCTTAGATCGCAAAAACCACCCTCCCACTTCTTCAAGTTGATACTCCCATTTAATCTTATGAAACTAGAAAGTTCACGTGTGTACTGGCTGATATCCCCCGTTATCAAGCATGCCACCAGTCACATATTAAGGAAAAAAACACAAAAATGCACACACGCGCATACACTAGTTACCTATATCTGGCCCACCTATACCTTTAGCCTTTAACCTCCTATCCTACATCCCACAGGTGGGCCTTTCTCAGCTAAACTTTTGGCCAATTCCAGATTTGACTCGTCTCATTGCAATCGCCTTTTGACTCCCCTTTGTCCCTCATGATCCGCTCATTGGCGATGTCTCTTCCTGTTATTGAGTAGCTGCTCTTAGTCTGAGTATCTTTGTGTTTTCCTCGCTGAATCTTTAAGTCTGTCCAGGTAGTACGCGAAACTACCGCTGACCGTTCCCTCTTAATCTCCTGCTCATCAGGTTTCTTTGGAAGAGCATGTCCACAGCCTTGCTGATCGTTCGTTTCCTGGTGTTTTCTCCATATAAAGCAAGTCTTTCCGTTGCCTTTCAGTAAATTGTGTGACTCGTAAGAGCGATGTGTTTAGCTATCTCTTGTCTTTCCATATCCATTTTTTGCATAGTCACTGG